AATGACAATTTCTCTTGCCATAAAGGAAGCAATGTAACCATACTAGCATTCATGCAGTTCGGTGTTGTTTCCACTTTCAATTGGAGTTTACTTGGACATTTCGTAAACATTATATTGAGATCACGTCCATGTCGTCAAGTGTGTTTCTAAGAAGAAGACAAGAAACTTAGCCTGACCATAGGCTCTGATATACCCTAACTTTCCCATTTTGTAGGTTTTCCCGGCTATTTTAAAACGTTTTTAACACGTTTTCCAATTCACCAATTCTAACATCAAATTCGTCCGAGAGGAATTTCACATGCTTTCAGTACAATCAATTTAGTCACTTATCATTCAATTTCAAAGTTTGGTCAACCTATTTAAGTACTGGTCAAGAATATTCGTCAATGCAGATTGAATTGGTATCAGTTATTGCCGAATGACAGCATTCAGAGATCAAATTTGTCTGATGTTAATCGATTTAAAGCTTGTGTTAAGTAATTAGTCTGGTGTGTGCTTGAGCATTTTCCTCGTGTCCTCGAGCACAATTTGGCACATTCGTTCGCATGATGTGATCAGACTAAGTAGATGTACTTAACTCAGACAGCAGTTACCAAAAGACATAGATTACCAAGAACAAACAAACACTAAATTACTTTTACATTTTGAAACGAATAAAACAAGTGTTAAAATGAAATAAGAAAATGTAAACAAAACTATATCGATTACGCTTAGTTCCCCGTGCAACATTTGTGTGTGCCCAAAACTGAGTCTAACGTATTTTTAAGAAGACAAAAATCAAAAGAAACATTATGACAAAAAAAAGAAAACAAAAAAGTGGACCATTATTCTTACCAGCGGCCTGTATGCCTTCTATATCACAGTGAAATATGACGAAAACTGAACAAAATTAGGATTAATTGAGAGACACAAAGACGAATTGTTTAAGTGAATAACGAGGTTCGGCGTAGACGAGACGAAATCGAATACTCCTTGACGAATATATATGTGCTCATGGTTTGAGTTACTGATTAAACTAAAATAGAAAATGTTTGACAAAGGACGAAATAAAATATTGGAAGTGCACAAAATGAATTTTACTGGACGAATTTGAATTGGAAAGGAAAACGCTTTAAGATAGCCGGGCCGAAAACTATTCTGTTATAATACGTGTGTTCTGGCATTTTGTACATAAAAATACATTTGTATTTACATAAAAACCAAATTATAAGTCTTAATTCAACCGTACTTTCGTATAATGCAAACCAATCAATATTCTATGTTCGACCAAAGGGGAATGCTTCAATGCGGTACCGAACCAAAATTTTTATATAACAATGCAATGTTTAACTAATTTCAAATTAATGTTTTTGTTATAAAACAGAAATCCGGCTAATGCTGAAAAATCACAAATTTCATAAAATTGAAAACTTTTCATAGGTAAGATTTGCAAATCCTCTACCGATAATAGTTATTACTACGGAGTTCTGTAGGTGCCATCCAAGTTTGTTTCACTGAACGACTATAGAATGTCGATATTCATGGATAATTTTATCACAGAGTGATGACATCTGGAAAGTGGAATGTAGTTATCCTCAAATAAATTTATCACTGGATGACGACATCCACGGGATAGGCTATCACTTTCCTGAAACAATTTACAACCTCTCGAAGAATTTACATGTGGTTGTCCGATCGTACTCCGAAGGTTTAAATGTCAAGATAGTTGTAGAGGTATTTTCGAAGGTGAAACCAAGCCTACACGTATACTTTAAAATAAAGCCTGTATCATAATGTTTTAACACACACGAACGACATAACTCCTTTCAGAATTTCGTTCAGCACGTGGCAAACTTTCTCAGTTTCCTGTCTACATGTACATCAGATCAAATCATCCCGTCCAGCTTTAATGTTGAAGCGGTCCCTTGGGCTTCCAATTCCCACACGCTGTCCTCATATAAATGTACGATGAGATCAGATCATCAAGTCCAGCTTTAATGTTGATGCCACAGGATTCCGATTCATGAAAGGTGTCCTCATTTAATGTATATGAAATTAGGTTCTCCAGTGCAGCTTGTTGATGCCGTCGTTACAAGGGCTTCTAATTCGTAAACTCAGTCTTCCATATATATAAATGTACGATATGAAATCGGGTTTCTCCAGTGCAGCTTTAATGTTGATGCGGTCCACAAGGGCTTCCAATTCATAAATGCAGTCGTCATGTAAAGCAAATGTACGACATGAAATCAGGTTTGCCTAGTCCAGCTTTAATGTTGATGCAGTGCCTTGCAAGGGATGTAAATGCGCGCTCACCAGAGAGCAGCGACCTTCCCGCGTTATTGAGAGCGTTTCCCCGGATCAGTTAGCCTCCTCAAGTGCCGGACATGACACCCACTGGCTAAACAACCAAGGACGGCCCTACCTTCTCCATTCGGTCGGGTGATCATTTAGGATTCCGCGAAGAGAAAAAAATATACACAAAATCTAACTCATTGCTCATGTCATGCACTAAACATTATACAGTGTGGAATGTGCAAGGAGCTTGGTATAGACCTACTTGCAACATATCTGATCAGATACAATAATGTCCTGAATATTAGGTATCGGAAGTAAAGATTCCGTTCGCCCATGATGCCCAGCTAGACAACAGAAAAAGGAGGGAATCAATAATGTGGCTCCGTATTAAGTAGACGATATCGGTAAGTTATGAGCCTGTACGCGTTCCATTTGTATTTGCCTAATCAATGCGAGGCATTTATCACAAATATCATCAGGAATTCAGGATAATGGTGCTGATGCCAGCAAACTTTAAGGGCAAGAATGATTTTGGAAACTAGAATGATTGTACGACGATAAGACAAACACCATCCAAAGGTCTGAATTGATCGTACGTCTGCGTAGGCTCACAATCTCTTTTGGATTCTGAATCACTATCAAATATCAAAGTGAAAATTCAGATGCAAAACGATTTTCATAAGCTGCAGTAACCGTAAAAAATGAATAAGCAGTGGTAAAAGAGGTAAAATTAAATATGTTGTAAAAGAGCAAAGTATTACACAGTTTTTTTTCTTTTGGTATACAGCCGTTATAGGCAGTATTAATGAAGTAGAAATCCCAATAACCCGGATTGACGAAATATAAGTAATATTGGTTACATGCAGTTTACATGCAAGAAGATGGAATCTTTATACCATTTGTTGTAATGTGTCTTTTTTAGCTGTTGGTATTGATTTACACAATAAAAAAAAATGACATTCAGACAAAATAAGATGTAGGTGGTTTTTTCCGTTTTGGTGCCAACGTCGCGCCATATCCTACGGCAGTCACACCATTTCGATAGATTTCACACCATGAGTACTGTGCAGTTACTGTTTAATTCATACGTGTAGGCTGATATAGACATATGTTACTTGCCGGCAACTGGGAAGTAACAATTTATCAAATGCTCGCATTATGACAACATTCAAATTACAATGCTGCTCAACGTATACCATTCTGATACTAGATACACGCTTCCCACTAGTAGGCCCGGGGGTAATGTGGAAGATTGATGTAGCGAGTCAACGATTTACGGGAACACGTGAAATTCTTTCGTAGAATTTCAATATAAACAACACGTTTCAAAATTGTTCCCCATCGTTTCAAATTACGTGGCAGTTCACTTTCTGTTTGTTTATGAATTGAATTTGAAATGAAAGTGAGCAGCAGTTTAATTGTGTTTTATTGCATGTAGCTGTATTAATAATTGTTTATAACAATAAAATTCAGTTACGTTCATCTTAGACAATTAAGTGAAATATCCGAAAGAGCCAGGGCCTTGAGAAGTCTAAGCTTCCCTTATTTTTCTATCCATAACTTATTCTGTTTTTGTTAATATTCGAAATGACCAATTCTGCAGAGTTGAATGTGATGCGAAAAAATCATTCAAAATATGCAATTCCCAGGCCATACATGTAGATTCCTCTAAACTGAGAGTGCTGAAGAACTGGATATAAGTGGGAATTGATACCCTTATAAAAAAAACTAAGAAATACAAGTGTATAGTCCGATCATTCCTTCAAATTGTGCGCAGTATGCCTCTATCTATACCAGCCAATTACAGTGTCGCGTAGTCACATCTGACCGTTAAGCACGCCCGGTTGATCCAGCACACACCATGCAACACACCGTGTATAACAAGCCAGTACTTGGAAATCGTGTATATCAACAGCCCGCAGCCTGATTCACTACGAGAGATATGATGTATCTTTCTTAAGACAAGCCTGATCTCTTAGTGTTCAAGATTTGACTCGGTATGCTTCACACTTAATGCCCACCTCTCCAACAATATCACCCTCTCATCTATCGATGGTACACTCCGCGAGTGAACATCACGCCTTGATCGACTACGACTTTCATAATTAAAAGGACGTTCCCGCGCCATGCAGTCCCATCGAGGCCACATTTTCGACGCAAATTGCATTATTCAGCCAGTTGCGCTGGATGCATCTATCCTCGACGAGTTTTGGGGTGAGTTCGGTGGGCGGGATTAACGGCACAGGACAGTGGCTGACGATGAGCACCTGACAAAAAAGTCTGACGTTACGACGCGAGTCGCTGGTTGGCCAGTTTAGATTACAATACACTCTCTACGTGTTTTGGTCACATTGTGTTGATTGATGCACTGTCGTGATGCTGCACACATCGCGGGCTCGACTCGTGTTTGCTATAATGCAGCAACGCAACCGGCCACGAGTTTTAACAGTTGGGTAAACAGCCTCGTCCCGAAACACTTCGGAGCAAATGTTGTCTCGTTTGCATCATTCGCCTCACAGACCGCGTTGACATCAACGCGATATTCTGCTTCTCTCGAGTTCTTGGGCCGAAATCTAGTTGCCGCGTGACACATTATCAAGCCGGCAACGGAGCTCAACAAGGCAAACAGAAATCGTGCATTAGCGTGGAGTGATCGGACCGACGATGCTGATCTAAACTTCTCGCTGCTTCACTTCGGCTTGTTGTTTGTCGGTAATACAATCGAGATGACTTCGGAAGGCTCCGGCCCAATGCGGTCCAAAGAGTACCTGCAGAATGGAACCCTGTATTGGGATACCCTCAACTATTCCGATTGGGTGGCTTTCCCAGATGGTCTCCCTGATACGACTGATTGGTTGAATCTTGATGAAGTGTTATATCACCCATCTGAACTAATCCTAATCACTCGTATAATGCCCATTATCTTAGCTATCGGACTCGCGGGTAACATGGCGTTTCTCTTCGTGGTGTTTCGAGTTCGCTGGATGCGGACTGTCGTGAATTTTTACTTGATCAATCTGGCCGTGGCAGACATCGTGTTCCTGTGCGTGGCCATCGGGGAGAAACTCGGTATGCACATCAGCCGACCCGATGTCTACGACGAGGGATCGAAAGGCATTTCCGGCTGTATGCTGATCTCCTTCACGAAAGGCTGGTGCTACTTCACGTCCATCACGCTAGTCACGCTGGTGTCTGTGGGGCGCTTCTACGCGTCTGCAGACCGCATGATTATAAACTGAATAGTAAGCAGCGAGCACTGAAGCTCATCTCTGGTGCGTGGTTAGCGTGCTGCGTGATCGCAACGCTACTGATACCGGCCAAGTCCGCGCTATCCAAGAAAACGTACTACAAGGCTGACATATGGGCACCCAATGCGAATCTCTCCGATATTCTCCACAATCCACATTCCAGAAAGACCTGCGTACCGGTAGCTCATGCAAGCTGGGTAGCCTTCGTTACCGACGGCTTCAAGCTCTACCATTCCTGGTGGCCCTCTCCGGTAACGTCATCATCTACGTCTGTATATTCCGCGCCATCAACGACCGAGTCTCAAAGACCATGCCGCCATAATTCCAGGGAGCGTAAGACCGAGATGAGAGACCGAGTCAGTCGAATGCTGATCGCTAACGGAACAATGTTCTTCCTATGCCTGGCCCCATTCGAACTGACATCACTCTGGGCTATGGTTACCAATGATACTTTCCTCGAAACTGGAAGGCCCTGGACTCAATTCTGCCGCGTTATGATGTACTTGAATTCAGCCGTCAATCCCATTATTTACAACATCACCAACCCCAGGTACCGCCAGGCCTTCATGCGGGCTTTCAGCAAGAAGCAGGACGACGACACGAGTCCAAGACCCCGTCTACCGTCCAGCTCAGCCACCTGCGAGGGGAGAGCCAAGAACCCAAGTTCAAGAAGGAAGTTTCTCACTCCCAGTCCAAATTCACACTCACACTGAACAAGGAACGGCTGCTAGATTGGCCAAGCTACACTAATCAAACACATCCAATCCCTATGCCATGCAAACCATTCTGTCGGAAAGAAGGTATATGTTACTGATCTTATTTTTGAATTTCAACTAGCTAAGTAACGTGGCCGAAGAGCAAACCCAACCAATCACCTGATCACCTCCACAAACTTATTAATTAGACGTACTAACAGTCAAACACTTTGGCTTTGCCAGATTCTACCTGTGTCTCTATGACTACAAATACCTGTCGAACTTTAAAAGGTTCGTTTTCAGTGAAGTAGAAAAGGTAATACCCAATTTTTCCATTCATCTCTGGAACTTAACATACACAAACACAACAAAACCATTATATTATGACCTGCCATACGGGACTGCATTATAACTTGACATAATGGAAATGATGACATCTCTGAATGACTGATGACGACGAACGGATCCCCGCGCTCGATCCGACGAAATCCGAGAAGTGTTTGAGCTATAGGCTCACCTTTAGCGCATTCTTTTTGCATTGCATTAAAGAGGTATTGCCAGAATCAATTATGTTTCATTCTATCTGCGCACGCAGCGTTAACACGGCGTTGAGCGTTTCGTTGCAGACGCTTTGCTGTGAGCCCTCGTTGACGAAAGCCGATTGAACATTTTGGTAATTGCCGTTGATAGAAAGGCACTTACCTAATTAGCCTTTGAATACAAATTAATGTGTTTAAAGTCATGCCCAAATATCGGAAGTAAAATACAAGAACAAATCGAAGCATGCATAATCGTCAGCACGAGGACACTTTTTCCAGCAGTAACGTGTCTAATTTGGTCTCCCTTGAGTTCTAAACTCTGCGTTTTTCATTTCCGACGTGGACTGTCTAGTCTACAATAGCCTTGGCGCTTGGTAAGCATAGAAGTTTAATCGTCGTCTTTCAATGCACTCATCAGTGAGAGAGGGCCAACAGAGGCCATCCATCCATTAAATCATTATCAGAGTAGTTTTCGTCACCTGCATCCATCATGTATTGATTCTATTGTAATCATACAGCTTTCCAGAGCGCACACAAGGATAGCATCCTTTGTGGTACGCTAAAGGACTATTTGTTTCATTCCCAACATGGAGGTGTTCAAGTGATCACGCCGAGTGGCATAAATTCAAAATTTCTGACTGTAATAAAACAAAATGTGGTTACAATTTCGAAATTATTAAACAAAACCCAAAATAGTGAAAACAATTATTCAAAATGAAAATGAATAAAACTGCAGTAAATCGTTGCTGAATGGACCGACGTGAAATATACAAGTAAAAAAAACCTATGGTCTAAATGATTTATTATGTTACTTTGCACAACAATTGGTATGAGATTACCTGAAGTTTCGGTAAATTCAAGTAAAAGTTTGCTAATTTTGAGAGCATATTGCCACTGGGTAGGCAATTCATATTTTGACAATATTAGCCAAAATATTAGGCAACAATTGCCCATTTGTGTGAAAAAGATCAGATAGGGGTGACTGGGAACAAGAAATTAACCCGAATACTGATTTATAAGGTAATGATGGCGTTCTACTTTTATAGAGCTTAAATTATGAACGTTTTCAGAAGAAACCAAATGTTGTTGTTTTGTCCCACCCACTTCCGTCTGATTCGACCCGAGTCTCATTCATGGACCGTCCTTAGCATTTACCTAAAGAAACTCAACAACGGTGTTAGGTTACCCGCGCCATACGATATCTTCTAGGCTGTTATCCCTATTATTTCTTCTCTAATAAATCCGGACTCCGTCTTGATAAATCTGATAAGAGTTCCCGGACGCGCGAGTGCCGTATTAAAATTTCAATGACGCAGCATGAGGTTCTGTGATTCCCTTGCTGATGTGCTAGCTGGGCCGGCCAACCTCATTTCTTGTTTCTTCGTCCGCGGGAGCAACTATTAAAGATTAAAACACAGCGGCAGACACGGTGAGGGACGAGGCAGAGTAGATCAGTCTCAATAATTCTCTCTGATGGCGTACCTGTCCGACCTTATGAGGAAATAATTGCATTAAAAACTCACAAAAATCAGGCAGGGTGTTCGGTCAAAGAGCAAGGAAACACTGTGTTCGCCTGCCTTTTGGTCTTGTGGCTCTTTCGTACTTCATCTTTCTGATTCCGAGATGGCGAGACATGCGCCAGGCCAGCAGTGGTTATCGCTCTTTTGAGCGCACTGACATGTTATTGGCGGCTAAGAAACATTAAAGGCTGTCGTGTGAAAAATAACCCGAATCGCATGCTACAGGAAAAGACATGAACATAGGGTGTCAACTCGGCGGAGGTTTTAGGCAGTTTTCGGTTTTGTTGCACAAGCAATGTAACGTCATAAAAAGTACGTAACAGGCGCTCATTCTGTAGCAACAGATATCTCTAGTGGGAGATCCGTTCTTATTAAGAAAACCGCAGGCGTTCTTCCCAACCAAAAGCATCATAATGAACTTCTATTTTTGAATTTTCGTACACCGTTATGCACTACTGCTACAAAGAATGATTCGGTAAAAGCGTATGTCGAATTGTCTCCGACACAATCGCACGCAGAAGATATTCTCCTTTGAGTTGTCGATGGGAAAATGGAACACAATACTCGACTAGGAAGAAGCGAAAGCGAGGCAGATGTTGTTGAGCCACGACCACGAAAAAGTTCGTGACATTGATAAAATAACAAACAGAAATTCGAGCCTGTTTGGAGAGATTATCTGAGGCGAGTATTTCCAGCACCGAGGACAAAGAACTTGGCGCGCAAACATTCGAGAGTTGATAGCTACTCTTTGCCTGTTGAAACTGAATATCTAGTCAGATTCAAGCCAAAGGTATTTTCTTTACAAGGAGATCGTGCACTCTGCGCATTACTGCCATAATTCCAATGGTGGCGCAGTACTTATCGACAACTTAGGTCTCAAACTAACGGGGAAAATCCGCCAGCTTTGTGGGAATAAACCACGTCAGACCTGCAAGCGAGTGCACAGTATCGGCAAAGACACGTTCCCTCATCCGATTTTGAATCCGTCTGCTTTTTTCTTTCAGTTTTCGCGGCTGCTCCCACGGATTTCCCTACGGCATGCTCTAGGCGGTGTCGATAATTCTCGCCAGATTTGTTTCTTCGGCGCGAAGCGCTAAACATCGTGCTCTGGACAATCCGGGCAAGGGAGGATTAGTACCCACAAGTCGATGTAGGCTATCGCTTGTATTTTTGTTTCGGCAGCATGCAGCATACAATACTACGATTGATGATTATTTTTTGCTTTGTATACTCAACGCCGCAACATGAGTGAAACCAAAATGAATCTGTTGCATATGATGCTGGCGCTATAGGCATACTGTCAATCAGTGCATTAACTCCAAATAAAAGCATTAAAATTAATCTCTAAAGATTCGGCCTTGTTACGTTTCATGTTTCAATTATTGTTTTCACTCACGGAAGTTCCTCTAACTATCGTTTAATTAGTCAAAATTGTCTTTCTGCTGACGCAAACCGATGATTCCATTTTGCATAATCTAGCATGTAAATCAGGTCCAAATTGACACGAAATGTGCTCAGAGTGATTCGGTATATATAAAAGAACTTTAGTGTAAACTCATTCGGTAATACTGATAAAAACAACAATCTGGATCGAGTGCAGCATTATCAGTGGTCTGTTTTGCACAATAACTTGGTATTACACCAATGCAATATACTGCGTACGTTGAATCACGGTGTACAATGTTACCACATCTCTGTTACACTATCACCCCACCCCACAACTATCACCACCTCCACTGCGAACATCGCTTCCCCTTTAACATCAACCCAAGCCTCACTTTTGATCAACTCTTCATCACCCATCCACTAGTTTCCGGTTGCTGCGTCCCCAAATAACTTGCCCGCCAACAACCCTGTGAAATTGGCGCAAGAGTCTCTGAAAATTGACATGCCTGGATTTGTACGGAGCACCGCGTGGCGTCGCGTGTAATGTTAATTGCACCCGAGTTGTTTCTGTCGGAGGTTATCGGTACACCTGCGTGACACGGACATCTGCGGATGACTGACTATAGACTGGACACACCCAGACAAACACGGACTAGGTGAAGACATACAAGGACACTGTTGCATTACCTGTCCAGGATGGATTATTATAAGCTTCATCCACTTCCAACGGTGAAAAAATATTGCAATATCCCTGCCGGATGAAATGGTTTTTGGTTCGTAGTCAAAGAGGCAGAATCAATTACGGTGAATGATGGGGAAAGAGATTTTAAAAAGAAAGAAGAAAAAAAAGAGACATTGTTGAAGTATGTATTGTAAAACTGTCTTGCTTATTGTAATATTGGCCAAACTCATATGTTGTACATTTGTCTATCGCAACTCACAGTTCTGCTTGTGAAATATAATGCATACCTAGGAGGTGCTGTATATACTTCACCAAATCATCACCAGTAAAGACGCAAAGAATAAACTCGTCATTATAAAAAAAAAAACATGTTGTATTAAAGACACGGTCAGTGGGAAGCGTTACTACTTTTTGTTCACTACGTTTTTACTTGGGCCCCCAGGGAGAACAGTCGTTTGACAACTGTTCGGCTACCATGGTAAAATATAACGCTCAATAAAAAAAATAATAATGAATGTTTGAAAATTATAAAGGAAAGAGGACCATCGTCTGAAAAGTTGATGTGTTCTAAAAGTAATGCAGTTTTCTAATCTTTGCGCCCCGTGATATTGCATGAGTTTCCTAGATTTCAGGCGTGAATGTCGACAAGCGACACTCTAGATGTCAATGCAAATTACCGCCAGGCTTTTTGTCTCTACGTGTGACCGCACATTGAAGGCTTCGGTCTTAATGAAGTCTGAAGACTTGTATTTGCTTTTGATATTGAATAAAGTGATCAGTAAACATTTTGAAAACCGAAAAAAACCTCGACATCACAACACTTGCACTCACGCAGTGTAATTATTTTTGTACACGCAGTTAAGCAAGGATTGATTTAAGTGAAGTGGTGCC